TGGATCGGGTTCGACTTAACACTGACTTTAATTTCAATATATAAACGCTTAAGCCTAACTTATCGAGGGGGCGTGAGACGGGGTGAATTCGCGAGAGCGATTAAATCTTTATTGCGCTCCCGCTCCCGCCTTACACTATTCAACAAATTAAAAAACGCAAAGTGCGCGAACACCGCCCCCCCTGAAGGACCGCTGTCTTCAGCATGCCACATGCAGCACCGCCAGCCTATGGACTGCTCGCCGATACGTCGCATCCTTCGTCCTCACGTCCGCCACTCGGACCTTGCCGTCAGCGCCGACGTGCACCGCCACGATCCGCCCGATCATCCACTGCTGCAGCGGAAGATTGTCCTCGGCGACGACGGCGAAAGGTCTCACGTCGACGTTTGGAACCTGGTGCCACTTGTTTTTCGCCTAGAGGCTCGGGACGTACTCCCGGGACCATCGCTGCCAAAACCTGTGCCTGAGACACGAGACACTGCGCCATCGGCGTAAGCAGGTTGGGCTGACTTGGTCCGGGAGCGCCGCTGAGGGTGGAGCTAGAGGGGTCCGCCGATCAGGAGATGGCCTGGGCTTAGGGCTTCGCCGTCGTTGGGATCTGTGCTGATCGCTCCGAGGGGCCTGGACTCGAGAACGGCCTCCACGCTGGTGAGGAGAGTTCCGAGCTCCTCCGCGGTCCGACCGTCCAAAGGAACAGGTGCTTTTCAGACTTCACACCTGCCTCCCAAAGTCCGCCGAAGTGAGGTGCTCTGGGCGGTATGAACGCAAACTCGCATCCTTTTCTTAATGCGAATGTTGCGATACCGCCCCCTGCTCCTCCAGACGGGCCCGGAACTCTCTCATGTGGCGATCGGCTCCGACGAAGTTCGTCGCGTTGTCGCACCACACCTTCTCCGGAATCCCGCGTCGACTCACGAACCTTTGGAATGCCAACAAAAACGTATCAGTGGTGAGGTCAGACACTAACTCTAAGTGGACCGCTTTGGACGCAAAACATACAAACTATGCCACGTATGATTTGTTCGGTGACTTACCACGGATACGATAAGTTGTGTTGAATGGGCCACAAAAATCAACACCACAGATATTAAAAGGGCGGAGAGCTCGAAGTCTGTCTGATGGCAAGTTCCCCATGATTTGAGTCAAGAGTTGCGGCCTGCCCCGAAAGCAACGAATGCAAGAACGAACTGTTCTGCAGCAAACTTCCTGCGCATTAACCAACCATATCTTTTCTCGCAACAGACTTACAAGAGCTCGAGGGCAAGCATGACAATTTGTAACGTGCAGGTAGGACACGTAAGTTTTAACAAACTTCGACAACAACAACGGGAATTTGGCTTCATACGGGATAGGAGCATTCGAGGAACACCAATCTAATTTTTTCTCCTGGAGAAAAGGGCTTAGTTTTTGTATATTCGTTGCTACCGGTTTAATTTTCCGAATTTTACCTATGTCGTCACTGAACTCGTGACATTGGATCACTTCCACTATTTTCTCGAACGCAAAATTCAGTTCTTTTGGAGTATTACTTTTTTCAAAGGGCTGAGACACTTTTTTACACCTTTGAATAAACCGTAAGACCCACACGAAAACCCTTAGAAGCCTTATGTGCGACGAAAAGGATTGGGCTCTGGGATTACCACAAGCGCCAATGCTGATTTGCGTAATTCCATCGACACGACATCAGCAGGTACTTCGAAGTGTCGATTTACAGGCCAATCTTTTCTGCATCGAGCAAAAACGACGGCCCAGCGAACCAAATGGAAGCTGTAAGTTCCTCAATGTTACATCCCCGTGACACGATGTCCGCTGGGTTTACTTTCGTGGGGACATGTCGCCAGATTGCTTTTTCCGACCACTCTTGTATCTCCGCAACTCGGTTTGAAACAAAAACTGACAACGACGAAGGATGCGTCTTGATCCAATGCAAAGTGATCTCCGAATCCGTCCAGAGGAACACTTTTGTAATCGGAAAATTAAGCAATGGTCTTACACGATTATAAAGATCCGCAAGAAGGTGAGCTGCGCACAACTCAAGGCGGGGCAAAGTTTTCGTCTTGAGGGGAGCTACTTTGGATTTTGCTGTCAATAAAGACACTTTTAAACCTTCAGCGGTACTAGTGCGAACGTAAGTGCACGCTCCATATGCTCGCATGGAAGCGTCCGCGAAACCATGTATTTCTGCCGGGACTTTGGCGTCTGTATGAACGAATCGCGATACCTTGATCTTGGGCAGCTGCAACAGCGTTCTCTTAAAAGCTTCCTAAGATGTCTGCAGTTGCATCGGCAGCGTCCCATTCTAACTTTCGAAGCCACAGTTCCTGCAACAACATTTTTGCCCTATTCACTAGAGGACACAATAGGCCACGCAGTATAAAAGTCGGAACGGCCGGGATCGGACGACTATATCCTATAGCTTCCATATAACTGATTGATCGGAAATGCCATAACTTTGGTGTTTGTTAAGTTAGGATGTTGGGATTTTCTATGGGTTTTATATTTGGCCAATCAATCCGACCTATCTAATTTCATAAGGATCAGCCGACAATATCCTATAGCTGCCATATAACTGATTGATCGGAAATGCCATAACTTTGGTGTTTGTTAAGTTAGGATGTTGGGATTGGATTGGCCAATGAATCCGACCTACCAAATTTCATAAGGATCGGCCGACTATATCCTAACTGAACGATTGGAAATGCCATAACTTTTGTGTTTGTAAAGTTAGGAAGTTGGGATTTTCTATGGGTGTTATATTTGGCCAATCAATACGACCTATCTAATTTCATAAGGATCAGCCGACTATATCCTATAGCTGCCATATAACTGATTGATCGGAAATGCCATAACTTTGGTGTTTGTTAAGTTAGAATGTTGGGATTTTCTATGGGTTTTATATTTGGCCAATCAATCCGACCTATCTAATTTCATAAGGATCAGCCGACTATATCCTATAGCTGCCATATAACTGATTGATCGGAAATGCCATAACTTTGGTGTTTGTTAAGTTAGGACTTTCTATGGGTTTTATATTTGGCCAATCAATCCGACCTACCAAATTTCATAAGGATCGGCCGACTATATCCTAACTGAACGATTGGAAATGCCATAACTTTGGTGTTTTTAAAGTTAGGAAGTTTGGATTTTTTATGAGTATTAAGAATGCATCATATGAATAATTTTGGAGAATATAATTTACAGAGTATTCTGCAAGGGTATATCAACTTCGGCTCCGCCCGAAGTTAGCTTTCCTTTCTTGTTTTTTTTTTAATTTTTCGATTTTTTTTATGGGAGCTATATGATATAGATGTCTGATTTTAATTTAATTAAAACCGTAAAAAACCATAAAATTAAAAACAAAGATAAATTAAAAACTACCTCCAATAGAAAGACAACTTTTGGGAAAGTTTCAAACAGATAGCTTTAAAACTGAGAGACTAGTTTGTGTAAAAACGGACGGACGGACATGGCTAGATCGGCTCTCAAGAATATATATACTTTATAGGGTCCGAAATGTCCTCTTCACTGCGTTGCAAACTTTTGACTGAAATTATAATACCCTATGAAAGGGTATAAAAATGGCATATAAAAGGTGATGATAAGATTGAAATTAACAAACGGAAAAAATGTGTTCAAGAAAAGTTTTGGAACGAAATGAGTCTTCGCATGCCAAAGCAGAATAGAAGCGGCAATAGCCATGATGGTAATACGGCTAGGAAAGCTTTTGGCAATACTAAACTACTAGCATCTATTGCCAGCTTCAACGAAGATCTTTTAAATAAATTTTACGCCATTTTAATCGCCATTTTTTCCAATTATTATATAAATTCGAAAAAATTTCGCTAATTTTGTGAAACAACTTTTTCATTACATAAGCGTAGCTTTTCAAGGTATCCAATGTCACCAACAATTCATAAAATATTGGTTCATGGTTACCAGACTAATAGTTCGAGCTTGGTTCCACTAGGATGCTTAGGCGAAAATGCTTCTGGAGCATTGTCGCATTCAAGGAAAAGTAGTCGGCTCAACACTAAGACTGATATATTTCACAGAGCTATAGATTCCTCGGATCCATTATTGCCGAGTGTTTCTCTAAAGGAAATATGAAGAAAAAATAAAAAAGGTATTAGGTCTTTTGGAACTTCCGTCTACAGCTGAAAATGAAAACGATTTATAATATTGAATTGGATGAAGAAGAAAATTGCATTTAATAAATAGGTAAGTAATTAAATAGAACAGGAAATAATATATATTTACTGTAAATCTACTATCAATCAGTTTCCAGGGGCGGCAAGAGTGGGCGTGGCTGCACTGTCCCAATTTTGTTATCACAAATTATTAATGCCACAACAATAAAATGTGCGAAGTTTAAACCATGTAACTCAATTTTTCGACTTAATGCCAAAACAACGGCATTTGGACAATAGTGCAAATATAGCGGACAAAAATTTCTTTATGCTTAAGAACTTTGTTAGAGAGAGCGACAGAGCGGGAGCGTAACACCGATTAACTACCATTAACCTCCCTAAAACGTTTTAGACCGAGAAAGTGAAAGATGGGAACCCTAACAACGTTAAGTTTTTGACATACACTGCCTTGTACAGTGGGCAGGCCCCATACCAGCGAATAGAATATTATTGATCGATACTAAGAAGCGGATCCAGCGGCACATCCGTATTTTTTCGGTAATTGCGGATTACATCCCTAATTATGAGCCTCCTGGTTTTTATGCACTATATACTCATCGCAGAAGTAGAGTCCACTTCTCTTGTCGATGACATCGCGACCATGCCAGACCACGGAGTACTTCTCTGGTTTTTGGTTTTTTTTTACAAACAGAAAACCATTATCATGCTTTATCGGACCACTGCAAAACTTTTTAAACTATAAAATTAGAATGTCTCATTAGTGTATTTACTATTTCAAATTTTCTCTTATTGCAAGATTGTAATCCTTTCTTTTTACATTAAATAAGAATTATTTTAAACTTTTTTTTTCAGGTCTGCAGAGGACACGATAACTAGCCAAAGAGTTGCAATAAAAAAAATTTCACCGTTTGAACATCAAACATATTGTCAAAGGACTCTCAGAGAAATAACCATATTGACCAGATTTAAACATGAAAACGTAATAATACATTTCCATATATCATTTAGACAAGTTTACAAAAATAAATAATAAAAAAATCTCATAAAGAATAAAATTATGATTTTCTGGTGCAGGTTGTATTCTCTATGTATACGAAAATGGCCCTTTTCTGTTAAAATAATTCTCTCTCGCTCTATTTAGCAAAGACAGCTTAACCATTACATATTTTTTTAACTTTTCAAAATTTTATAAATTATGAACTGAAGCTAACTTTGAATGGCCGAAGCTGTTATACCCTTGCAGACGTACCGAAAATTAATGATGGCGTGCGCTGTCATGTTCAGTTATAGGATATAGTCAATTCAAGAGAATGATCCCAAAAAAAAATAAAACCATTATATTAGCCAAAAAATAAGCGGAAAACCAAAAACTTCTCGAAAACAAACAAATAAACCAAATTTTACTCGATCATTTCAATATCAGCTATATGATATAGTCGTCCGATCAGAAAGTTTTTTAACATGATCAGGGTGAACAACAATTTCTTTAAAAAACTGCAAATTTTACCCGATAAAAATACTATGACAGAAATTGAGTTTAAACTTGATCTGGATAAAAAAGTGTAGCTTTGAGCTCAAAGACGGTATGGAGACTGACGGACAAACAGACATGGCTTTTTTCAACTCGTGGTGCTGATAAAAAATATATTTTTACTTTTATGGTCGGAAATTCATACTTTTCTGCTTTACAAACTTCTAACCAAAAGCAAGGATATAATAGGATATATCTATACGGTATGCTTTGGCTGTAGAAATTATTTCTTTTATTACAGGTAGTCGAAAAATGATATATCGGATCACTATATCATACAGTTCCAAAAAAAAGTAAACGAATTGAAAAAACGATATTTTAGTTTTTTCAGACATATACGCGTATACTAATATTTATGGTAATTTTTACGAATTTTTCTACAAAATATTGAAAATCTAATATACAGGGGTGGTCAAAAGTATTTGCACATTTCTTATGAGTAAGTACGTATAATTTGTGCAAATACTTTTGACCACCCCTGTATATAGCGACTATATTATATTTCTGATTCTAACATATCTTCTTGTTATACCCTTGCAGAGGGTATTATAATTTCAGCAAAAGTTTGCAACGCAGTGAAGGAGACATTTCCGACCCTATAAAGTATATATATTCTTGATCAGCATCACCAGGAGAGTCGATCTAGCCATGTCCGTCTGTCCGTCCGTCCGTTTCTACGCAAACTAGTCCCTCAGTTTTAAAGCTATCTGCTTGAAACTTTCCCAAAAGTTGTCTTTCTATTGCAGGTAGTATATAAGTCGGAAAGAGCCGTATCGGGCCACTATATCATATAGCTGTCATATAACTGAATGATCGGTGTTTTTAAAGTTAGGAAGTTGTGATTTTCTATGGGTTTTATTTTTGGCCAATCAGTCTGACGTACCAAATTTCATAAGGATCGGGCGACTATATCCTATAGCTGCCATATAACTGATTGATCGGAAATGCCATAACTTTGGTGTTTGTAAAGTTAGAAAGTTGGAATTATCTATGGGTTTAATTTTTCGCCAATCAATCCGACCTACCAAATTTCATAAAGATCGGCCGACTATATCTTATAGCTGCCATATAACTGAACGATTGGAAATGCCATAACTTTGGTGTTTTTAAAGTTGGGAAGTTGGGTTTTTTTATGAGTATTAAGAATGTATCATATAAATAATTTTGGAGAATATAATTTACAGAATATTCTGCAAGGGTATATCAACTTCGGCTCCGCCCTAAGTTTGCTTTCCTTTCTTGTTTTTTAACATAAGATATAGATTTATAGTCGTTTATCAAAATATAGTCTTTTAATGACCAATACATTTTTGTTATTGTTGCAGGATATCATCTTGCTTTTTATATCCTTGCAGAGGGTATTATAATTTCAGTCAAAAGTTTGCAACACAGTGAAGGAGACATTTCCGACCCTATAAAGTATATATATTCTTGATCAGCATCATCAGGAGATTCGATCTAGCCATGCCCGTCCGTCAGTCCGTCCGTTTCTACGCAAACTTGTCCCTCAGTTTTAAAGCTATCTGCTTGAAAAAAAGTTTTCTTTCTATTGCTGGTAGTATATAAGTCGGAACGAGCCGGATCGGGGACTAAATTGTACAGCTCCCATAGAAACAATCGGAAAACAAGAAAGGAAAGCTAACTTCGGGCGAAGCCCGAATATTCTGTAAATTATATTGGTTGGCCAAAAATAAAACCAATAAAAAATTCCAACTTCCTAACTTTAAAAACACCAAAGCTGTGGCATTTCAATCGTTCAGTTATATGACAGCTATAACTGAAATTTGGTAGGTCGGATTGATTGGCCAAAAATAAAACCTATAGAAAATCCCAACTTCCTAATTTTAAAAACACTAAAGTTATGGCATTCCCGATCGTTCAGTTATATGGCAGCTATATGATGTAGTCGCCCGATTCGGCTTGTTCCGACTTATATACTACCTGTAATAGAAAGACAACTTTGGGAAACTTTCAAGCAGATAGCTTTAAAACTGAGGGACAAGTTTGCGTAGAAACTGACGGACGGACAGACAGACATACATGGCTTGGTCGACTCTCCTGGTGATGCTGATCAAGAATATATATACACTATAGGAAAAGTCTCCTTCACTGCGTTGTAAACTTTTGACTGAAATTATAATGTTCTTTGTGATTTGGTAATATTTAAATATTATGGAATTACGGTTTAATTAAATTAAAATCGGACAACAATATCATATAGATGCCATAGAAACGAGGGCAAAATGAATCACAAAATCGACATAGCTGCATTGTTTTTAGTAATATAGGCATAGAAATCGAAACGTAGTCGATTTGTTATAACTGCTCCCTTTCTTGTTGATACGAAAGACTGAAGACTCTTATTTGTACTATAAGCCATAAGCCAGGTCTATTTTCTTTCGTTTGCCTCTGAAGTATTTCCTTGACGACCAATAGTCTAGCTAAGGGCATTTTGTTCTTTGTTTGTTTGATTTATATAAAAACAATACCCAAGCTTTTGTTTTGACAGTTGATCGCAATTTTCTGAAGATAAAAAGTAAAGCTCTGTAAAATAAACTATTGTCGTAGGTCCCTTAATTAAAAAATTCATTAAAAAAAATGTTCGTGAAAATGCAAACAAATTTAAAGCAATTTAACAAAATTAAATTAATAAAATTATATTGAAGCTACTAGTTTTTAATTTTGCTATTAAGAAATAGTTAGTTGGGCTAACCTCTTGCAATTGGCGAAATCATTTGGTGCAGTTTGAGTAATTATACCCGTTACTCGTAGAGTAAAAGGGTATATTGTATTCGTGCAAAAGTATGTAACAGATAGAAGGAAGCGTTTCCGACCCTATAAAGTATATATATTCTTGTTCAGGATCACTAGCCGAGTCGATCTAGCCATGTCCGTCTGTCCGTCTGTCTGTCCGTCTGTTTGTCCCTATGAACGCTGAGATCTCGGAAACTAGAAAAGCTAGAAGATTGGCATTTTGCATGTAGATTTTAGGAGTTCCTACGCAGCGCAAGTTTATTTCAAAATGGTGCCACGCCCCCTCTGACGCCCACAAGCCACAAGCCGTGGCCACAGTTTTGATGCTATTATGAAAATTTTAATTGATATGTATTTGTTTCTTCTATACCTATCGATTGGCCTAATAAAAGTTTGCCACGCCCACTCTAACGCCCAAAAAACCATTAAACGCTTAAGCCTGGCTAGCGCCTACATTTTTGCCTTTCATGGCGCCATCTAACGGATGACTTTGGAACAGCTGGCCAAGGTGCTCAACAGAGTCAACGTTAATTCTCGATAAGGATTTCTATTAAAGGAAATTGCGATGGTTTTCATTTGTCAATACCGAACTATATCCAAAGAACTATGGAAATCAAATCAAGTTAGCCAAATTGGAGGTCTGAGTCAAACAATGGCGTATGTGTGTATGTATGTAAGCATATACATATGTATGTATTTACACTGTACACAGTTGCAATTGCAAAGTTGTTTAGCTCAGTAACGGGTATTTAATAGTCGAGACACTCGACTATAGCGTTCTCTCTTGTTTTTGGTATGATTTTTCCTTCGTACTACTATTTGCTGCCTACTAAAACACATTTTCTTGTACAATCAGAATTGCGCAAATTACAAATTTTTTAAAATTTGAATTAATAGTTTCTATTATTGCCATAACTTCGTTGGTTTGATATAAATGTTTTTACTATTTATTTTTACTATTCCAATGATATAAAATTAATGATTATATCATATATCAGCCATTGGAACAATCGCACATATTAGTAAAATTTTGACATAATTTAATTGTTTTTAAGCCTGGACGACTAAAGTCGCGACATGGAGGTTTCATAAAATATTTAATGATTTGCAGATGTCGATATCAGTAATTATTTTTTGTGGACTTTTCTATTTTTCCTCAGTTACTAACTTAAGAGCTGAGCAAAATAAAAAAAAAAATAAAACGAAGCGAAGCGAAGTAAAAAATAATAACTTAGAAAAATTTAGAAGAAGTTTTATTTTGTTTATCATAATAATTAATTATTAATTTCTTGATATCAGAATTTTTAAATAGCGTAAATGTCAAGTGGTTTGGTTCCTACATCATATAATGCGAGGTTTACTATTTTTTTCGGTATAAAAGGAAGATATTTTTCCTGTATAAAATTAAGTTTTATTTTTTTTAATTTTATTAACCCTTGCAACAGTAGCAAAAATGTAACGGCTATACATATACATATCTGGAGTGCATTTGTATATGATTCAAACACAATAAAAAATGTTCTGGTAAATTCTTCGATAGGGATTTCAAAACGTATTTTTGAATTCATATAAAATACATATATCTGAAATAATATGCGCAAATATTAAAAAAAAATTTTTTTTTTTTTTTTAGGTTTTTTTTTTAAGTTTTGATCTTTCCTTTAGACAGATATAGTCTTCCGATTTGTATGTACGAGGAACTGAAATATTCTAAAACAACGAAGTTATGCAAAGGTTTTAAGTTAACTTTTTGTTGTGTAGCAGAAATAATAAGACAAATTTTTGGGTATGTTTTTTGATTTATTTGAACCTATCTTAAAAGAACTGTTCCAAAATGTTAAGAGACTAGACAGACTCGAGTGTGGACGCTGGCCAAGATTAAATATACTCTGTGACGCATCGCAAGAATGCCTTACTGCTAAACTGTTGATTTGCACACCCTTACGTCGATATAGAAATTTCTTCCAAGCGATTTTCGGGCACATCACTTAAGTTTGACCAAAATCGTATTTCTGTTAAATATCTTTCATACTGACTGTTATGACCAGTATGTTCCCGCAGTGAAAACTGACCTGGACAAACTCTTTTTCTATTTAATGTAAGGACAGGGTCAAAACTGCACCAGAAAATACAAATTTTAATTCTAGAGGAGTTTCATTACTTAAGCTTGTTAATTTGAGAAGTCATATTTTATTTGTAGATTATCGATATTCGAGACATTCTTCGAGTTGATAGCATAGACCAAATGAGGGATGTTTATATTGTACAGTGTTTAATGGAGACTGATTTGTACAAATTACTTAAAACACAGGTAAGGATCACCCGTATATAAAAATATATAATTTTTAAGTCCCTGCTTAAGTAAGTATTTTAAAACCAAGTCATTAATGGATAGATTTTTAAAACATAAAACAAATTTAATTTCTTTTCCAAATTAAATTATTGAGAAATCATAGTCATTCGGAAAAAATATATTTATGAATTACTACATTTCTGATAGTGTAAGGGCGGTCAGTAAAACCAATTTCATTTGCTTAATTTTAATTTAAAAACGTATTGTATATTATTTGTCTAAGTCTTCTTTTAAGTAACTATGGTAACTAGTCTTTTCTATGGCCTTTGCAGGAATAACATCTGCTTGCCTGACAGGCAGTCTTCTCAAATGACACCCGCAGAGTGGAATATTTTTTATGCGTTAATATTTTGGGTTATGCATGTGTCGTGCGGCGGGAAAGATGCAGGTCGCAATTTCCATCAGAAAAAAAATCCAAAAAGTTTTTAGTTTCAATAGTATAGCTTCTAGTTAAACCAAAAAAATTAAAAAAAAGTGAGAAATTCTAAAACTTTTCGCAAACTAAAAACAAACTTTTTTTTTTTGAAAAAAAAAATTCACATCAGACTGTTTAAAAAGTGGGTTAATAATAATTTCTTTAAGGTTTTTAGGTTCACCCAGAACAGAATTTAATTCCGAATCCAATAAATTTTGTCTCGTTTCGATAGGACGTTTAATTTTTTCCTATCTATCACGCCACTTAGGAGAAATCGTAAAAATAAAAACAGAGAAATCGCATGTCAAAGTTTGTGTATTTAAAAATCGTAACGCTTGCTCACTATTTCTCTTTTGTAACTCTAAAAAAATTTTAAATTTGCTTCTGAAATTTTAGGGACACATTCTTGGATAGTTTGGGTAAACATTTATGCATCGATTTTTTAAAGCTTCTAAAGCAGGCTCCCCCCTTAATGGGAATTTTTTGTCTTACGGTGGTGGGCTTGGATGCAGCAACTGCCTTCCTGACATCGAACCAGAGATTTTCTATTGTATTAAGACCAGCAGACTGCGCAGTCGACTCAAACACGTTGACAGAGTTTCTTTCGAACCAATCCTTTGCCTTTTTGCCGGAATGTTTAGAGTCATTACCTTGTTGGAAGACCCATACGAGTGGCATTTCGTACTCTGCAAAGGGTGCTGATCCATTATGGTTTTAATCCAAGGTACTCCATAATAGGAAAAAACAGACCCATACCATTAGACTTCTCCCTTCTTGTTTTATGGTCCTCGTGGTGTACTGCGGCATGGTGTACTGCGGCTCAGAGTTTTTGGGATCGAGATCCTTTTCCACCATCAGATCGACCTTACACTCGTCTGACCGTAAGATATTACTCCATTTTTGAAGTGGCCAATTAACATGTTATTTGCATACTTCATGCGCTTAGCAATATGCCTGGCATTTAAAAGTGGTAATCTTTCTGGGACTGCAGGCTTTGAAACTATGTTGTCTGAAACATTTGCGAACTGTTTGATCTGTCGCATTAATGTTAAGTTCCATTTTAAGATAAATTGTAGGCTTGAATTGATCCTTTTTACTCTAATGAATCAACCTTTTGGCAGTCGGAGTGTTACAGATCGTTTTCTTTCACAAACAAACAAACAAATGTCCCAATTGATTGCCTTTGTACGGACTTCTACAATTCGAGTACTTCGCCAAATGCAAAACAAGCGGAACAACATAATGCAATAGCGGCGACTCTTACTTACTGACTCACGATTGCTGTGCGAATCAAACAAAGAAAAATGCAAAATCAAAGTAGCTAAGCAAACCACAAAAAAAAAGAATGGAAAGCTAACTTCGGGCGGAGCCGAAGTTGATATACCCTTGCAGAATATTCTGTAAATTATATTCTCCAAAATTATTCATATGATGCATTCTTAAGTCGGCCGATCCCTATGAAACTTGGAAGGTCGGATTAATTGGCCAAAAATAAAATCCATAGAAAATCCCAACTTCCAAACTTTACAAACACCAAACTTATGGCATTTCCGATCAATCAGTTATATGGCAGATATAGGATATAGTCGGCCGATCCGGCTCGTTCCGACATATATACTACCTGCAATAGAAAGACAACTTTTGGGAAAGTTTCAAGCAGAAAGCTTTAAAACTGAGGGACTAGTTTGCGTAGAAACGGACGGACGGACGGACAGACGGACATGGCTAGATCGACTCTCCTGGTGATGCTGATCAAGAATATATATACTTTATAGGGTCGGAAATGTCTCCTTCACTGCATTGCAAACTTTTTGACTGATATTATAATACCCTCTGCAAGGGTATACAAATCAAAGAAAAGTACAACAAAATTTAACTTGGATATTATAAGAAAATATTTTATTTTGTTACACAGAATTTTAAATAGCAGAAGTGCGATTGTCAAGTTCCGTTCCAACCTCGCCTAATGCTAGGTTTGGAATTTTTTATCTTAAATAAGCAAGGAGTCAACCAAACACGACATAAGACATAGAAATAATGCCAGGGTACTTATTATTTTGACCAGACTTAAAACGCTCATCCAGCACAAATTTATGCTTATCATTGATATAACATTATATAACCTTTCCAAATATAATCAATTAGCAGGCCTGCATTTAATGACTTTTGAGCCATGTTTAAACAAATAAGCACGATAACTATGTACTTATTATTTTGACCAGTTTTTTAAATACTTTTAGGGTAGGAAATGTTACCTTCACTGGGTTTGAAACTTTTGAGTGAAGTTATAGTACCCTGCAAGAGTATAAAAACAGATCTGATAGGATCGGATAGGATCCAAAGCTGGCATAAGAATGCTTATCTTAACTCAATACTATTACTATTTAACTTTCACACAAACTCATCAATAAGAAATCAGAAAAACTAATAACCTCGGTAACGATTGATCAAATAAAACTTGAACTACTCTTCTTTATTCAGATTAAATAAAAGACTACTTAGCTCACAATAAATTATCTTTTATGTCACTAAGCACTAGAAATGGAAACAAAAGCCTAATTGAACTCTTATCTGCACTAAAATCCCTCAAAATCATCTGCCACCTTTACACTTAAAATTCTACAACTCTCACATCCCTTTATCTTACAAACTAAGCCTTGTCCTTTCCATATTATAACATCAAAAACCACAAAAAAAACTAAAGACCCATAGCCCTAAACCCATGCCTAGCAAAAGTTCTAAATAAAATTATTGCTAAAAGGTTGTGTTTTGTTTTAAATTAAATTTTCTGCTTACGCAGACGATTTCAACATTACAATCGAACACAATGGACGAAAAAATACCTCCATTAATCCAAAACTTTTCTTCCAACAAATAAACGAATGGTTAGCCTACTCTTAATCGTACCTTGAAACCTATATATGTGCTGTAAACCCAACTCCATAGATACAACTGGTCCACCCACATAAATAAACTAAAAGTTAAACATTATCAAACACCTACCAAAAAATTCAACACCAGCACGTCTTCCCTTATCCAAATAATTAAATCCGACCTCATTGCAAAAATTTATTACTGCTTACCCATTTATGGAAATTCACGAAGTTTTAAAGACCGCTTTATAAGAGGGTGGTCCGATAAGTACTTAGCCTCCAAAAGAAAAATGACAATTTTGGAAGAGTGGCGATTTATTTCTCAACATAATCTCCTCTTAGCTCCATACACTTGACCCAGCAATGCTCGTTTCTTCGAGGTCTGCAAAATAGGCCTCTGTGGCGGCGACGACCTCCTCATTTGACGCAAATTTCTGTCCAGCGAGTGAGTTTTTCAAGTTTGGAAACAAAAAGAAGTCACATGGGGCCAAATCTGGAGAATGTAGTGGATGGGGTAGCAATTCGTAGCCCAATTCGACCAATTTGGCCTTGGGAGAGCGGAAGTGTGAGTGGAAGAGCACTTTTTTTTCGCCAAATGAGGCCTTATTTTCTACAATTCGGCGGCGAATCGGCCCAATAATTCGGCTTAGTACAGCCCACTGACCGTTTTGCCCTTCTCCAGGTAGTCGATGTAGATCACACCCTTTATGAATCCCAAAAAAGGTGGCCATCACCTTTCCGGCCGATGGGACAGTCCTCGCATTCTTCGGAGCAGGTTCGCCGGGTAAAGTTCACTGTTTCGACTGTTCCGTTGTCTCTGGTGTGTACCAGTGAATCCATGTTTCGTCGACGGTCACGAAACGACGCAGAAACTCCTTCGGATTGCGCTTAAACAACGTCAAACATTGCTCTGAAGTGGTCTCCCGGTTGCGTTTGTTGTCCGGAGTGAGCAAACGCGGCATCCATCGCGCCGACAGCTTTTTCATGCCCAAAATTTCATGCAGGATATGACCCACGCGGTCTTTTGACATTCCTATTGTCTCATCTATCTCACGTATATCGGCGATCTGCCAATACAAGATCGCGTTATCCTCGGTCGTGGCTCATCAAAAACTGACGTGCGACCATGTTGAAACTCGTTAAACCAAATTTTGACGGTCGCCATCGAAGGAGAAGAGTCACCGTACACACGTCCAATCGCTCTTTGATTTCGCTGCGCGATTTCCCTTCCAAAAACAAGAATCGAATCACAGACCGATATTGCTCTTTCTCCATTTTTCTAAAATCCGCGGACACGTCCGATTCCACACGCAGTCAAAACAAAATTAAGAGTCCGATTCGGCTGAAATTTAGACAGTAGCCACAAGAATGTACTACACGATAGTAAATTTGTATTGCGATAGTGACGCCATCGGGCGGTGAGGCTAAGTACCAATCGAACTGCCCTCGTAAAATCCAGGCAAACTTACAATCTGCACCACCGCTAGTACCCTACAACCATTAAAAATCTTGTTACTAACCATCTTATTACTAAACCTATTTTTGTCCCCAGCGAAAACGCTGATAAATCAGACAAAGAAACAAAAATATCCGCCGCTATATACACAAAATAACGACGCTAACGACAAAAAAATATATATAAAATCAAAATACTCCTCCAAACTTTTCGT